GATCAGCATCCAACAATGGTATAAGCCTAAGGAGGAAGACCCTGAGGTGTCTTATGTCAATGATATCTAGAAAGAAGATCTTTGGACTCAGCTGAAGGCAAACTTCACCCTACCGCCAGAGGAGGATTCGGAGAAGCCAGTTAAAGAGCAATTAATCAAGTCTTGTGCTCTTAAGAAGATGGCAACCCTATTCAGGAGGTGGACGAAAGAGCTGAACAAGTTTGTCGACAAAAAAAAGACACCAGAATTCATTTGCAAATATGAGAAGATCAAAGATCACTGGCCCGCATTTGTGGCCCACAAGACATCAAAAAAGAGTCAGAAGATGTCGGCGACAAACAAGCAAAATGATGCGAAGAAGATGCTTCACCATCGCACGGGGTCAGGTGGCTACCTCAAAGCCCGGCCTAAGTGGTCCAAGGCTGAGCATGATCTGCTTGAAAAAGGGATCGAACCAGAGACAATGTACTGGCCAGGCCATTGCTGGACTTGGTTCTTCGGGGCTGGCGGAACCTTGGACCATGTATCAGGGAAGTGCCATTGTACGGACGAGCAACTGCAAATACCAGTCAAGAACCTTTGGCACTATATCGATGCAGCGCAGCGAGGGACGTTTGTTCCAGCCAGGGAGAAGGACGAGCTCACAATGGCCCTCGGGAATCCTGAGCACCCTGGACGGACACGAGGCACGCCAGGATCCATTCCGTGGAAGGTTGGTTTTCCGGACGCAGGGGGTTACAAAACCCACGAGAGGAGGAAGAAACTGGAGCAGGGCCAACTGCAGGCGCTGCACGAAAGGGTAATGGGGCTAGAGGAACGAGAAGGGGAACAAGAAGTAGCAGATCGCAACAAACGACCTGCCAAAGCTTCCCCCGAAGCTACCCCGCCATCTCAGCGGAGAAGCAGCATGGCTGCCACCGAGCTGCTTCAGCCGGAGCATGTCTTGACGGCTCCTGCCAGCTATCTCGTGGATGATATCATGGAGTCTCAAAATTGCCACATTATGGCGTGATGGATGAATTTGAAGGTCAAGGCGGCTGTTGGCTCTGTTTATCCTACTGGACCCGGCGCAACTTATCACTGCCAGCCGATTCCAGAAGGATATGCTAAGGTAATGGTGGATGAAATAACGGAGGGATTTGAGGACCTCCTACTTGACCACCCTACCGGTGAAGGGGAGACTAGGCTGGGTTCTACTCTGAAGACTCCATGCCTATGGTGGAAGGAGCTCATCAACCTTCCGAACTGGACGCCTCCGCCTCCTCCTCCTCCTCCGGTGAGTCAGGGCACTCCGCCTCCTCCACCGCCTCCTCCACCGGCGAGTGACGATCAGGGCACGCGTGGCGGCACTCCGCCTCCTTCTCCGGTGCGTGGCGACACTCCGCCTCCTTCTCCGCCTGCGCTGGCGCTCCCGAGCAGCCAGCAGGCTCCTCCTTCTCCGCCTCGCCAGCAAGGGCGGAAGAGACCCACCGCCGCCCCGGCTGCTTCGGCGCGTCTTAGTCCTCCTCCGCCTCGTAAGCAAGCACGAAAGAAGACAGACGCCGCAGCCTCTCCGTCTGCTCCGGCGTCTAGCAGCACAACCAGAGGCGGGAGGCAATACAGATACGGTCCACCTCTCAAGCCTCTAGAGAAGTTACCGTACGAGAGGACCGAGGAGGAAAACGATACGATCGTGCGGACCCACGTGAAGGAGTTCTTTGAAGGGGTGAAAGCAAAGAGACATCCACCTCCGGAGTAGAAGGTAGATCCGGTGAAAGCAAAGCGCACTCTCGATGCCCTGAGGAAACCGGCAAAGTCTCCGCCGAGAACCAACTATGAGCGCATTACTGAACAGACATATCGCCAAGCGGAGCGGTCGGGAAATACTGTCAGACATCAAAGGTCAAGAGAATGAGCAGCTGCAAAAAAAATTAACCAGCTCGGCGAACAAGCAAATCAATCGTGCCCCCCGCTCAATGTGTCTAGCAGCGACATCGTCGCTAATGCTCCGGGGATGGTGGCCGGTTATGGAAATCTACAAGATTACCTGCCTGACAATGCAATTCCTGATTTCATGGAGGTGGACGAACAAAGATACGAGTACGGGAAGCCTCTCGTCAAAGATAAAAAATCTCTAACAACGATGATGCAAAGATTCCATACTTGATACATGAAAACCTGCAGAGAGTCTGGGTGGACTAATAGTTTGTATCTGAACATTAAAGAGGAGCACGACCTCGTTGGAACTGATATGTTGTGTGTTCCATTTGAGGAGTTCTTCGCGTTCTTCAATCAAAAGGCCCTCGATAAATTAACGGTCTTTTGCTACTGCCTGTAAGTACTATTTCTGTCATTAAGTCTCTATATATAGCTCGGCTCTTTCATTGCATGTATTTATAATTAATTATCCTCAATATATTATGCAGATTGAAGATCGTCGAGTGCAAAAACAAGAAATTTATGATATTGGGTTCATTAACACAAATATCATAGATGAATTTCTGGTTAAAAAGCACGAAAAAGAGGCCGAGCACAACTTGCTACGATCATTGATCAAAAATCAAAACAAAGATACCATACTCTTTCCTTACAACGGCAAGTGAGTGTTACTGTCGTGTGCATATTCAGTTTCCCTTATTACTCGAGCGAGGTTATAGTAATGTAATTGATGAGTTATGCATGCATGCCCAGGTACCACTATGTTCTTCTGGAGATTAAGCTTGAGCGGGGACCAGTAACCGTCTTACACTCAAGACAGAAAGATCTCAAAACCTATGCGGACATGACTGAAATGCTCAACAAGTAAGTTCAATCGATCATTATCGCACCATATCGGCAACTTTTTGTTCATTTCCTAATATCTCAAGTAATATTAATTATTATTTTTGTCTTGCAGGGTTTGGAAACAGTTCACCGCAGAAGCTCCGGGACTGCCGAAGGAGCTGCGATATACATACCCGAAAGTAAGTACTATTGGCTAGCTAGTTGCGCGCATCTCCCGTTGATTCTATAGCTATACTTTCATCAATGCCATTTATAATGCTTCATTATCAGTTTGATTGACCTTTATTTCTCTTAAAGTGCTTGTGGCAGGAACAAGGGAATGATTTCTGTGGATACTATGTGTGCGAGTTCATCCACAACGTGACTTTGAAAAACAAGCGGTGCTACTTTCAAAGACAATATGAAGTGCGTAAGCAATAATATTCACAATTTCATTTTATTACACCATCATTTCTGTTGAGTTTCATTCATGTATATGTATTAATTAACCCTCTTATTCAAATTAGACGTGGCAGATGCGGAATGAACTCCGAGAACCAGATTGCATGAAAGCAATTCAAGAGGAATTGGCGGGATTCTTTCTTGACCACGTCATCAATAAAGCCGGAGAATACCATGTGTAAGTTGATTTCAATTGCTAGGGGATTGTAATTAAGAGATCTTACATATTGTACTTGTATTTAGCTAGTAGCGTCGGATACATGATACGAAAACTTGTTGTTCGACCAATCTCTCGGAGAAGAAGAGGTCGATCGATCACTTCTCTCGGTATGCATGACGAACTTCTGTACTCAATGGTTCTCTCGATTACTTATGTATATAGTACGTAGCGTCGACCAAGCACGGACATAAGAGAGGACACTTCTCTCTATTAATTAGCTAGCTAACACAATATATGAAACACCTAAATTAACCCCCCAAAACCCCCAACCCCCCCTTTCAAAAAAACAAAAATCCCAGCCACTGGAATGCTGACGCGTGGATGCCTTTTGGTCCCGGTTGGTGCCTCCAACCGGGACCAAAGCCCCCCCTGCCTAGGCTTGGCGCACCGGCCACGTGGAGGACCATCTGTCCCGGTTCGTGTTTGAACCGGGACTAATGGGGTGAGGTATTAGTAACGACCCATTAGTCCCAGTTCATGAACCGGGACTAAAGGCCCTTATGAACCGGGACAAATGCCATGTTTTCTACCAGTGGTAGTTGCCATGATAGTTGTTATATAGAAGAGTTAGAGCTGGATGGAGTATCAAACTATGGAAACGAATCATGCATGGAATTGTAAGCCAATCATATAAGCATAGACATGTTTTCAGTTTTCTGATGTATAGTGGAAGTTACTTAGGTCATTAGAAATATTAATATAAAGAGTGTTTTTATTGATGCTTGTTGTGAACCATGTGAATATATTCCCAAAAAAAATGGCTGATATATTTGAATGTTTTCATCTTGAAACAAGATCTCTATAATAGGAACAATTTTGAATTAAAGATACTCCCTCTGTAAACAAATAAAAGATGTTTTAAATCACTAAAATTATTTGTTTGGATTTATGCCAGCGTGAAAATTAATAAGGATCAATTTTATTTAGATACGTGCATTTGCAAGTGCATGATTACTTGTTACGGGCGAGGGACCACGGTGGTTGGCAAGCACATGCATGCACGCTGCAAACAATACCATTCTCTCTTTTTTGGCGAATCTGGAATTTCATTCATGACTCATCCACGAGAGCATACCATTCGCACAAAAAAAAGTATGCCAGGAAGATGGTATAGCTTGGTAGGAATAATAGCAGTACGAGTGTGTTGCAAGACATGAGCCCATGCGATGGCAGACATGTGATCATATGACTCACTTCCGTCTACACAAACGGAGCAATATTCATTTATTATGATTGAGACGTGGGCCATGTCCCTGTTCAACATAGGCAGCGTGATGAGGAATACTACGTGCAATGCATATGCCAGCACACATCCGTATGATTTTGGTAGGCTCAGATTACAGGATCATTTAGACCAGGGAGCCAAAACGAATATCTGGGACTGAAAATTTAGTAGTAATCCCCAAAGGGGAAGGACAAGTGTCATACTCTTACTATGACTATATATGTGCATGCTACTTGTACCTGTGCACAGAACCGCCACTTCCATCAACCAGCTACAACAGTAACCTGCTACTATACTACATTTAGCTCTAGGTAACGTGCTGGCTGCTCTGGCACGGCCGGTCACCTGAGGATGACGGGCATCAACTCAACAAGTAGTCCACCACCTCCATTCCAAGTCCAACCATCCCGAAGTGCATTCTGCGATAGTAACAGAACACTACTACCCTTTGTGTATAACCTCACCGTCTTCTATGCTGAGGCCAATCTTCGGGGGAGCGAGGCCCCCCTGGTGGCCACATCCGTGGTCATGTTCGTCCTCGCCGTGCTCTTCTTCATCCTCAACCTCTTCAGCCGTTCCTCGGATGCGAGCGCCATCCTTAACCCTACTGTCCGCCTCTTCCTCTCCACCTCGCTCTCTCTCTTCCTCCCCGCCATGTCATACCTCTATTCGGAGGCCAAGAACGCGGTCGGCCAGACGGCGGACCTCTCGGTTCGAGCCCGGACGATCCTCATGTGGATGTTCCTTGTGGAGCTCCTCCGCAAGAAGGTGGAGGCGATCCTGGTCACCGCAGGCATGCAGGGCTATTCGGACACAATCGATAGCGCCAGCCGGGTCGTCTGGCTAGGTAGCCTCGTCTTCTTCAACCTAAGAAGCGCCGGCAAGAAGGCATTGTATGGATCCCTGTGGGTCCTTGCAGCTGCCAAGTTGGTGCAGAGGTTCGTCACCGTAGAGCTGGGAAAGCATTCTTTCGCCTATGGCAAGAATCCCCAGCTTATCGCCTCTTACATGACCCAGATGCTGAAGCTACAAGGTGAGGCTGGGTCGGATGTTTTGAAGGGGTGCAACTATGCCGTGATTGGCGAAGAGGAGCTGAAAAAGAAGGCCGGCCCCAAGGGTTACAAGCTCGACGAGCTGGAGAAGGCAATATCAGAAGCGGACTCCAGCGTCGTCACGGTTGGCAAAATCTGGGCCCTCGCCGAGAAAGACACGCTGCTGCATAGGGACCCGAAGCTGAAGCGGCTCTGCCTGTCCTTCGCCCTCCACAAACTGCTCCGCCGGAGGCTGGAGGAGTACCCCATAACCGACGCGGAAGCCTCCAACTGCCGCGACCTCGTCTTCAAAGGTCTTTGGCGAGAGGGCATGGGTGGGGAGGATGCCATCCAAGTGTTCAGCGACGAACTCCAGTTCCTCTGCGAGTACTACCACTCCGTTCTTCCGGTGGTCTTTGCCAGCCCCTTCTTCTTCGTGCACAACTACATCCTGTTCCCCATCATTGTATGGGCATTCTGCATCCTCATGCTCATCTTGTGTAGCAACGGGGACGTGCCCTACGCCTTGCACAGCTTCAGGACCGACAACTCCGTCATGTCCGGCGGCGTCCTGAGGATCGCCAGGTGCGTCCTGGGGAAGGTTTGGGACCTGTCGACTCCTTTCGTGTTCTGCAGTATCGACATATCCATCACCATCCTGCTCATCCTCGCCTTTGCCTACGAGGAGGTCTGGGAGTTCATCGTGTTCCTGATCTCCAACTGGTTCATGGTGTCCCTGCTCTGCAGCCACACCTCCACGCCGGAGTGGCGCACACACCCGCTTCTGAGAAGGATCATCCCGTCCATCGTCTCGGTGAGGAACACCATGAACCAACCTCAGGTCTGCTTCAAGCAGTTTTCTGTGCTACGGTTCAGCCGGCTGTCGTTGCCGCTGCCCACCAGGGAGGTTCCCGAGGAAGCCAAGACGTTAATCATGGAGCGTCTGGCTAGGGTCAGCCGCGACGCTCCTCTCAGCAACGGCATGTCTGTTCTGCGATCAGCCGAGCACCGTCTGTCGATACAGTCACATGAGCTGTCGTGGGCGTGCAAGAGCGACAGCATCGCTGAGGTGATTCTCACGTGGCACATCGCCACGGCGCTGCTGGACGCGACGTACCGGCGGCAGAGGGGCACGCGGCCTGAGGACGGACGCGAGGCGGCCACGGCGTTGTCCGGATACTGCGCCTACTTGGTCGCCTTCCATCCGAAGCTCCTCCCGGACGACAAGGACGGGACGGAGCTGGTGCACGCGGACATGAAAAGGCAGCTGAGAGAGGAGATGGGAGGCTGGTGGGGTTACTACCGCTCCGGCGAGAGCGACCGGTACACCAAGCTGATGCAGGTCGCACGGACCAGGCAGGAGGAGACCACGGTGATAAGCAAGGGAGCAAGGCTCGGGAAGGTTTTCATCGACAGGTACAAAGATGACGCACGCGAGAGAGTGTGGAAGCTGCTGGGCGACCTCTGGACCGAGGTGATGCTGTACGTGGCGCCGACGAGCGGCGAGCTGCACATGAAGGCCCACAAGGAGGCGCTGGCGGAGGGCGGCGAGTTCATCACGGTGCTCTGGGCGATTGTCACCCACACCGGCATAACCCGCCCAGCCGAACAGGTGGAGGCGCCGCTTCGGACCATCTCCATTGCGGGTTAATTAGATGGACTTGGTCGTACGTGCATGTGTGTGGGCTTGCGTGTGTTTGGAATTCAACATTTGCACTTGGCTTGGTGTGTTGCCGTTAGTAATTGATATCGATCATTTTAGCGTTTTCAGAGTTCAGGGTTCAGCTTTTGTACTATCATGACTAGCTAGCGAGGGAGAGTTCTGAGTTCTCTCGTGGGGCGTATATATACTTGTCGTCTCAGCGGCATACCATTATAAAAAATGACAGCAGCCATATCCTTGCATTGCTTTGTTTAGCCATGTTTTATTTTGGTAACATATGTGTGTCGTTAGAGCAAGAAGTTTTGTGATTATCGCCTGAAAATATGCCATTATAGTGTATGCGGCATAGTTTTGTGCCTCTTGAATCCGAATTATCCCCATAAGTGAATTGTTGTGACAATCTATCATCCAAGTGTGCTGTTTGATATTACTATATTTGAGCTACACTACTACTAGATAATTGCATGCGCTTCAACAGGGCCACTATATTTTATGCGTAATCACCGGGATTACAGAGGTCAAAAAATGGACTTTAGTTGTCAACTAAATCAACACTATTAAAAATATAACACTTGTTGGCTTAAACAAGAAGACATCTAGTCAACTAATAAGACGTTTGTGGTTATCGACAAAAAACAGAGATGGGAGGAGAAAAAATGAAACAGAGACGGAGAGGAGGAGAGGATGGACATATATAGTGGAGGTTGGCCGAAGGTGGAGAGCAAGGCACTAGAGGGCCGAATAAAAGAACATTAGGTATTTTCAGGCCTAAATTTATACTCCCTCCATCCATTTATACAGGGACTAATGCATGTTTCAACGTTGGCTTTTGCCCGCTGATAAGATTAATAAACATGAGATGTATGATATAAATATTATATCATTAGAAACATCTTTGACATATGAATTAGACATTATGCATTATTGTCACATGCATGTCATATGTTACTGCTCTAATCCATGGTTAAAGACAACCTAGAAACATGTATTAGGCCACATATATTTGGATGGAGTGAGTACTCCCTTTCTATATTATTTTTTCCTCTGTTTATTCGATCTACTTTGTTATATCTTTTTTGCTTTTATACAAACACAAAAAATGTATGCTTTTATTATTTAAAGAAAAATCATGGGAATTTATTTAAAAGATACACAAACACTCTTAAAATTACAAGAACAATTTTAAAAATGTGGGAAAACATTTTGGAAAATTGCATGAACACCATTTTCATTAAAATCAACGTATAGTTCAGAAAAGTTGTCCGTATTGAAAAATGTTCACATATAGTAAAAAAATGTAGCATATTTATAAAATGGTTAGCATGTATTGAAAAGGTTAACATACATGTTTCAAAGTTTGATATCGTCTATTACAAATTGTTCATTATTAGGGGGAAAATGTTCATCATGTATTAAAATTCATTAATAAAAAACAGAAATAAAAATTTAATAAAGAGATATAGAAAAGGTGAAAAAGGAAAACAATACTAGAATGGAAGTATAAAGAAGCAGAAAAGAGCAAATGAGGGGGGAAACCGAAAGACTAGCTAAACTGGAATAAAATTCAGAAATAAAAAGGGAAACTAAATATCAAATAAAAATGAAAGAACGCCGAAAACACAACAAAAAAACGAAGCAAAAGGCAGAAAACAAATTGGATCAAATCCCAGACATGGAGTGTAACCGGGAAAAATCGGCGTTGAGAGCCGAGGCTAGTTTAGGTTGGCCCATTTTGTGTAGAAATAGCTTAAATTATTTACGCATTACACGCTGGATACAAGGAAAACGTGTTGGTCTTTCCCTCTTGTTAGTTGGGGTGTCCCATATTCTGCTCGCTACTCTTTCTTCATTGCATTCAACTGTTTCTCGCCACTAATTTTTCTGCTTTTCATTAGACTCTATCATAAGTTGTTAAATCATTATCAAATGAAAAGGAATGGTAACTAGAACATGAATTACTTGTGAACAGAATACAAGAAACTTTCTCTTAAAACTCGTGAAAAGAAATGAATACTAGCAACCTTGACGCAAGCGACGCCCTACTGAGCGGCCTAGTAGTGCGCTCCTTTGTTCCTTTGTTAGTTAGTTTGTTCTTTTTTCCTTTTACTTGTTTTATATTTTGAAATATGTTCAATATTTTTTTCCAAACATTACATTAGTTATATTCTTAAAAAAAACACATTTAAAGTTGTTCATGCAGTGTAAAATATTTTTCACGCAACTTTTGGAAAAATGTCCGTACTATTAAGAAAAATGTTGATGACATTTACAAAATGTTCACACGATTAAATTATGTTCATAAAAGTGGGAATTCAGTTCACATGGTTTTTAATAAGCATTCATATTATTCAAACATCACAGTTTTGAAAATATTCATGTATTTCAAAATATGTATGTGACATTTTTAAAAAATATATTTATACAATGTAAAAAATGTTCATGTAGATTAAAAGGTATTTCTACCATTCCAAAAAATCCTCATGACTTATAAACGAATGTTCATGGCATTTTAAGAAAATATTCGAAGACTTAACAAATGTTTGCACTTTTTAAAACAAGTGTTCATAACATACATGAAAAATGTTCTATGTGTGTTAAACAAATTCACAGTGCATCCAAAAAGTGTTCAATGTGCATTTGACAATGATTCTCCATGCATACATGACAATGGTCCTAGGTGGATATTTAAAAAAGTCAACCTATATATAAAATATGTTCTCCATGTATACACTTTGTACTTATAGGAAAAATGAAAAAATGAAAATGAAAAAAGCTGAACAAAAACTGATGCAGAAAAATATAGAAAAAGGAAAAAAAATTAAGAGGAAGCTTCTACAGCCCATCTGAACCAGTCCATCAAAGCTTCATGAACCCGCTCCCAGAAGCTACATGAACGCACGTTATAGGAGATCAATCCTAGGGATAACGTATTGCAAAACGCTACTCGGTCTCACAATAGGCAAGATATAACCCTCACGCTTGTTTGCGGCATCCAGCCAGGCCCATCCCAGGCCTCTCTCTGGTGTCGTTTGCAGAGTTATTACTCATGGCGCATGACTATTAGAGCAGGCTGCAAAAACAGAAAACATACGATGATATCCTAAACAAAAAGGCCAGTACATCCCTTCGCGCCAAATTGTTGTATATCTTTTCTAGCGATTGCATGAAGCTATGCTGCCACGGCTGCTCGAGTTGGGGCAGCGGCGGCCCGTAGGGTCATGTGAATGGCTGAAGTCAGGGGAGCGGCGGTGCACGGGGTGCTTGAGGATGATGGCGGTCTAGCGGCTGCGCATGGAGGAGAGGCGGTGATAGCGAGAAAGAGATGGAGAGGTATAGGCGGAATGGGCATATTTTTTTCCCACTAGGGATGCGTAAAATTATAGGGGGAGTTGCATCTCCCGCCATTTTTTAGGGAATGATCTCCTGCTATTTAAAAGGTGAGGTTGGGTGATATTTTTATAATGAAGTACCCCT